ATAATAGCTACTCAGGAGCACCTTGCAAATAAAAAAGCAAAACACAGGCTGGAGAGATGGATCAGAGGTTAAGAGCTGTATAAACATCCTTAAGAATAGGAGTAATCTAATGATCTGGGAAAAGACATCTACTAGGACATAAGGCTCAATACCCTTTACAGGTCATCTACATAGGACCTTCCTCTTCCATCTTTGTATATAGGAGTCAGCTTTTTTCCCTCACATTATACTCTGTTTGTTGCATTAGCAACAGGTAGAAAAAGGTTTCAAGTCCTCTAGAGACTGGCTTCTTTCACTATGTTACTCTTGATGCCAATGTCTCCAGCTCCTTTTCCCCTATCACAGGATGACAGAGCGTCTGAGAACAGGTTTTAAAAAGGGAGGGAGGGAGGGAAGGAGGGAGGGAGGGAGGGAGGGAGGGAGGGAGGGAGGGAGGGAGGAAGGGTGAGCAGATTCCATATAATCCCTGGGTTTGCTGGCCAGCCAGCCCAACCTAGTATGTGAGACCCTGTCTCAAAAACCAAGACAGGTCTCAGAGATTGACACCCCCTTCCCTCCTTCCCTCCCCCCCCCTCTCTCACACACACACAGAATTAAAATAGTTTAGTAATACAAATCTTAAATTTTACTATTTTCAGGTTCTTACAAAAATACTGGAAAGTAAAAGGCACTAGGATCTGAAAGGAGTAAGAAGCAAAGGGAATACCCAAGATGATAATCACAAAAGGGAGTTCTAGAAATCAGATGGGAAACAAACCACTGAGTAACTCTAATCAAGATGTAGTAGCACAAATGATTCCCAGGTGGAGCGCTCCAGGGACAAAGTTAGAACAAGTGAACCACATACAGGATGGAGTCACAGTAAAGATAAAAGCACTGAACAGAATACTGATTTCTATATTCACATTTGCTTTCTTAACATTTTTTTCTCTGAAAATGATATTTTAATGGTGTTTGGGTATACAAAAATGCTGCTTTATTCCACCCACAAACAACTCTACTACTGCTTTTTATGACTATGTCTGGCCCCACTTGACCAGCCCTGCCTTCTCCTAATCTCCAGCACTTCACTGTCACAGGCACAGGGAACAACCCCTCACAACCATTCACTGTCTGTCTGCTCGCCACGGCGCCTCTTCAGTTCACCTTCTGGAAACAATGTCATATGGAAGGAATACAGAAGTAAATTCGAATCCCAAGTCTGCCGTCATCTAGCCTTGTAGTCTTAAGGAAGATCTCCTCTCTGAGCTGCAATTCCTTTGACATTATAGCAAAGTTAATACCAAGTTGTAGAGAGTTGTTCAGTGGCTAAAAAATAATGAACATGAAGAACTTATGGAGTATAGATGAAACTGTCATCAGCAACAGCAACAGTATAGCCACCTGAATGGTAGCCATTGTGATTGTCATCTAGGCTGGCAGAGTTCTTGTTTCATCACTGTACAGCCAAAGACCAGCAGGATCCAGCTCAGCACAGACCTTCAAATGGTTAATCAATCAAAATGAGCTCAAGGGATAGCTTGTTCTCTGCCTTGCCCAGAAACCTCTGATGACATGGGTCCAAAGCATGGCATCCTCCAACTTTCTACAGTACTCAGTACAACAGCTACCACACACTTCTGAAGTTAACTGTGGCAATGTTTTAAAATACATTATCATAAATGTGCATGGAGGAGCAGTGCCACAGGGTCCCAGGGACGCACAGCTCATCAGTTGCGTAGTAAGTGCATTTGCTCTCTGAACCAAAAGAGAACAGCAGTGGAAAGAAGCACTAATCACTATACTTGTACTATCCTCCTCGCTAACCACAAATAGACTATCTATGGAGAATCTGTGTGAGAAACAAAAGCTTTGTGGGCTTTGCTGGCTTTAACACAGAATGAATTTTCTCAGTAGAATTCATGTATATATTACTAAATGTTAAATTCTGCAAAATGCTTATAAATCAAAGTATTCAATGCCACAATAAAACCCATTACTTTGTATGTTAACTTAATGAGTTTTAAAAAGTGTTTTCAACGCTTATGGATTTAAGAAAGCTTGTGCCCTAAGGTATAGATCTGGAGTCTGGCTCTGAGTCTTCACCACAGAGCATGACAGAGCCATAAAACTGAATTTAAAAAGTCCTTCTCATAATCCAGACATTTCTGTTGTTTTTTTTTTCTAGAATTGTGATGCATGCCATGCAGTGGTTTTTAGAGGGGAAAAAGTACTTTAGAAATAATTTCTGTAATATTTTAGTAACTCTTGGGGAAACTAAGTATGTACTGTTAAGTACAATCTCCAGAAAAGCTAGGTGAAAATGTTTAGGGAAAAGAGCTGTAAAGAGGCTTGACTAGATGTAGTGGTAAAGGAACATGGAGAAAACAGCGTTTATGATATGGAAGCCGGATACAGAGGGAAATCTTGCTGTAATAATTGAATTTGGGACCAGAAATCCTCATGGATATCAGAGAACCTTGACTGCTGACTCTTCACGTCTACTGAAATGGAGGTACCAGGGACTGGTCTGAAGGTAGAGGGGCCAGTGGGAAAGGAGTTATATGTAGGAGACTGCTCTTTCATTTCCCGACCACTCAGACCCTAATAATCACACAGAAACTGTAATAACTACAACACTGCTAGGCCTATTAGCTCGGACTTTTTATTAACAAACTCTTACATCTTAATTTGAGGGATTTTTATTAATCTGTGGTTTCAGGTCCTTCTTTTTCAGTGGCTACATGGTATCTCTCTGAATCTACCTACTCTATATATACCTCTTCCAGCCTGGTTATATTCTGCCCTGCTATAGGCTGAAGCAGCTTCTTTATTAACCAAAGGTAATAAAACATATTCATAGCATATAGAGGGGAATCCCACATCAATTATACTGCAGTGACTATGACTTGATACTACTGAAGCTCAATCTTAAATCTCATACATCAAATTAGACAATACAATCTGGAAGCAGAGGGAGAAGACAGGAGACAGAAATGTAGGAGCCCTTAGATTTCAAGACAGGGTTTCACTGTTGCTTTGGAGCCTGTCCTGGAACTAGCTCTTGTGGACCAGGCTGGCCTTGAACTCACAGAGATCCGCCTGCCTCTGCCTCCTGAGTGCTGGGATTAAAGGTGTGAGCCACCATCGCCTGGCACTAGACTGTTGGTTTTACAAACTGCTGTTTGTAAAAACTATTGGTTTCCCATTGACGTAAGATACAGAATGTGTCCATTCTGTTGATGAGCATTTGGGTTTCTTCCGGTTTTTGGCTGTTAGAATCATAACTGTGAACATTCATGTATAGTGTATATCTTTTGGTAGAGCTATGCACACAGAAAGTAGAATTTCTGAGTTATAGTGTTGGCACGTAAGAATAGAAATTGCCAAATAAGTTTTCCAGAGTGGTTATACCATTTTACATTCCACTATTGAAATTTTCAGTTGTAAAGCCAGGTTGCTTCTCAGTGCAATTTTAACGAAGGGAGGGAGGGAGGGAGGACGAACAATGTACACAATAGGGATGAAGGGATTGAATCTACTACACTGAGTAAAAGAAGTATATAATGAGAAACACGGGTTACCCTTCAGTGGGGACACGCCTTACTGACACAGAAGCACCGCCTAAAAGTCCTGATGGATACTACACCAAGATGAGACAGGAACTTGCTCTCTTTTCAGTCTGAAGATTTCATAGAGGTAAGGGCTCTCTAGCAGCTTAACTGCTTTGCTTTTCTGATCTTCAGTTTGAACCCCAGTATCTGTCTCTGGGTTTTTATTATTTGTGCTACAATAAGCTACCTAGTATAAGTTATTTTATTACAACACCCAGAATGGTCTGAGATGAACATAAAGGCAGAGAAGAAACAGCAGCAGGTCCCTGTAACAGGTGCTGGAATAACCCATAGCTAATATGGTGGGAGTTTACATGTGAAACTCTAAGTTATATTGCTACAGTATGAATGCTGAGCTCCTCTCTAAATCCCTAAGTTGAAATATAACCTAAAGGGAAGGCCTTTATACAGCTATTAAGTCATGGGAGCAGAGCCCTCATGAAAGGGACTGGTACTCTCATAGGAGATTCCAGAGGATTCTTGACTTCTTTCCAACAAGAAAGAATCTGCAGTGTACAAGTCAGAAGAACATACCCTCATTATCCCCACCAAACGCTGCAAGTTGGCAACCCAGATTTCAGGCCGACCGCCAGAAATGTGGGAAGTAAGTTTCCACTGTTCATAAACTACCAAATCTGTGGTATTTAGTTAGAGCAATCTGGATAGATTAAGATGCATAGCCCCAAAATATTATTGCTTTTGCATAACCATTTAATGAAATTTTAAGATACCTGAAATTTTCACAGATTTCTTGTAACACTCAAATAGGCTAATGAACAATAAAGCATATTATCATGGTGTTGTACAAATAAACAGCAAGAAACTATCAATCATGCATGGCCTTCTTTTAAATACAGTTGTTAGCATTTAAGCATTCCTCAATAAACAGTAGAATAAACTTTTGGGTTTTAGAGGGCCAGACTATACAGAACACATAAACACCAGTACAATGTGAAAAAATGAGTCTTGTCAAAGCGGGTGTTAGCTAGTGTAATTGGTTACTGAGGTAGAAGCAGCACCACTGTGGTTCCTTTCACAATGAGCCTCAAGATAGAATACACCCTTCTCTGTCATGGAAACTAGGAACCTGAAAGGCTGGTTATGATCATCTAGTCTGATTCTTCCACCCTAATCAGAAACCCAAACAACTGTACCTCTCACAGAAGAAGCAGCAGCAACTCTCAGGAGTGGGGAGGAAAGGACAAAAGGAGGGGACAAGTGGCTTCCTTGTGGAAGGTCAGGACTCTGTGAACAATGCCCACCTTAGCAGCTATCTTTCTTGGTGGCATATAGGAGAGAGACTTCACCAAGTCTAAGAAGCTAAAATAAAGTTTGGGGTCAGGGAGGAGACTCAAAAAGATCACTAGAAGTGACCACAGAAAAAAACGAAACAAAGCCACATCTTACCTCACTGTTGTGGCCTCGCAGGTTGAAGTTGATCCTCTGTGGAGTACTTCGGTCTCTGCGACAGTGACTAGAGGTGAAAGTCACCCCTACCACACCACGCCCATTGCCTGTGGCCAACCATCCTTCTTCATAGTAGCGCCTTCTGCATACAGGCTTCTCCTTCTCGCTCTTGGGGACACGCCCTTTCCAGGACAGGCAAAGGATGTTGGAGTCACTGCAAAGCACAGGCCCATGTTCCACTGCTGCATACATACTTTTTTCAATAAATTATTTCACTTAAAAAGTATTAAGAATTTCAAGCCAAGTTCTTTCATTGGCTTATTTTTGTGGCTGGACTTGGTTTGGTTTTGTTTCTCCTTTAGCTACAACTGCTCTAGAGTCTAATTAAGGTCAGTATCTTATAACAATCCACCGAATGCATAGTGAAAAAAATTCCTCTATAAAAGATAACATCAGTCTGCTAAGAAAGGTATACCTAAAAACACATGGGGTCCATTTTCATTTCAAAGTTCTTGGGAAAAACACGCCAATCCTCTGGAGAAAGAGCTCTGTTAGTGTGTGGTGACAGAAACTAAGTTCTCTTTGTCTTTACTCTGTTTGGTTATTCTCAGCCTGAGATTCCAGTTTTGTGTAATGTGATTCCAGAGATAAAAGGTTGTGAACACACAGATTTCAAGTAACTTAAGGCGGTAAGAATCCCTCTAGCTGAAATTTTCTATTCAAAAGTTCAAATTCAGACAATGACCATACAAGATCATCTTCCTTCTGAACTCACCCTCCGGCACGCTTTCTAAACTACACAAATTTCTGTTGTCTAGCTGAAAAAGGTTACATGAGGGAAAAGGCACACTAATGTGCAAAATCAGGCCGGAGCTCGTGTGCAGACAGCAGCCCAAATTTTAGGAAGAGAAACACTTTGCCCAATGTTCACAACCAGAAGTTTCCTGTCTCAAAGACTGGCTCTGTGTCCCTAGGAACATGGGGCTCCCTGGAATGACTCTCCCATTGACTGGAGCATCCCTCAGTGCCATAGGGACTAGAGCAAAGTCCCTTCCCTCAGCAGAGGAAGAGGCTAGAGCTTCAATCTGGACCAAGTGCTTTCCTTACTCATACTTCTTGCTGACAAAGAGACTACAAGAGTTTGTTTTTCCTTTAACTCGTTTCTCTGCGTTTTTGTTCCTAAAGATCATGTATTCTTCTATCTTGTGGAAAGAAAAAAGAATCTTGGAATTAAGTCCATTAAATCATCTTCCTCTCATAAGCAAGTCTTTAAACCACCCACCCAGGTGTGCAGCAGAGTCCTCCAAGCTGTACCATCTCTTGAGAACAGCTCTACACTTTGCTGAAAAGACACCTTCTTGTTCACATTCAAGCCTGTTCACACACCTCTCAACCAAGAAAGGTTTTTCCTTGATACTTATTTTGTAATTGACAGTTCCAATTAGTATTTTAAAATACCTTAATTATGCAGAAAAGAAAAAGATAATAAATAAAAATTTTCAAATAGTTAGCTAAAGACACAAAGAAAACTGTTCCTTTTCAGATCCGTCCCTTCACTGGAGCCACGAGCACAGTAAAAGCTACTGAATTTCAATCCAGAGTTTTAAAATCTATTCCTTCTTTAAACTGGAGGGGTATTCTTGAGGCTTAATCTGTATGATTTTTTTTTCTTCTGAAAACTTGCTTTGCCCATGAACACCATAGGGAAAATTTGCCATTAGTGATGGACTGTCCTCCAGGGACTCCAGACCCCAGCAGTATGAAGTTGTTCCATTTGATGCTTAAGATTAATGTTCATCAGTTGCAAAACTCTCAACGTGCAGAATGAGCCTGCCCTCTTATGAAGGTGTATGTGTAGAGAAAGCTCTCCCATACACAGACGCACTCTTCAACTGGCACTTGGGGTGTTTGTTTTCCCAGTTAATTCAGGAGCCATCAGGTTATTCATTGTCTGAAGGTCTTAGACTCTCACAATCTGTAAAACAACAATGACAAAATGGATATGCATATTTTTAAAAATAGCAAATAAAAGTTGTAACAAATAAGTGCTGGAGCCGAAACTAAAGGGTAGGTTCACATTTGCCACTATCTGATGAAGCCACTTGTAGAGACTGCTAGCATCTGAGTAGTAAATGGATATGAACTTCAGAAGACAAGCAACAGGAGTCACCCGCCACACACTATCATGTTAAACCTGTCAACAGCACCGCACTATCCTCTCTAAAACTCTGGGCCCTCAGTGTGGGTCTTTCCCCTATTGATAACTTGGTGTATGTAAGCTTTCTCAAAAATGAAACTCAAAAAGCCCAGGAAAATTAGTGGAATCAGTTTGTAGGTTTTTGGTTTTTTCCATCATTATTAAAGAATATTTGTTATTAAAGAATAACACAAAGCAACAAAGGCCTTTAAAAAGCTCTTGTCTCTGATGGTTAGTCACTCACTGAGCAAGGCATAGCTGATTTTTCAGCCTTCAACTTTTCTACTTGCTACAAATTCCTAGAACAGTGCTCTCAACCTTCCTAATGCTACAGTCCTTTAATGCTGTGCCTCATGTTTTGGTGACCCCCCAACCATAGTTATTTTCATTGCTAGTTCATAACTTTAATTTTGCTATGGTTATGAATCATAATGTAAATATCTGATATGCAGATGGTATTCAGCCACCCCCGTGAAAGGGCCATCAAAATCCCAGAGGGGTTGTGACCCACAGGTTGAGAACCACTGCACTAGATCATCTTCTGCTGTCCTCAACATTTGCACCAATTTGCAAAAGCAACAGTGATCAAACTGTCAAGTCTATCAAGACTCAGCAGAGAAATTTCAACTGCACTAGAAGGCTATGGAATTTTTTTAAACCAGATTATCTTCACGAGAGACTTAAACCAGCATTTTAAAAAATTATTTTTGAGACTGAGTCTTGCTAGTTCCTTGGACTCAGGATCCTCCCACTTTAGCTTCCAAAAATCAACAAGATTACAAGCATATGCCACCAGACCTGGCAATAATTTAATTAAATACTGACCTTTGCTAACAGCAGCAAAAAAAATATTTAACAAAATGCTGACCCTTTAAGTTTGTAACTTTTTACTATTTCACATTCTAGATTATCAAATAAGCATAAAAGCACCTCTACTGATGTTCAGAGTATATGAGAATCCCAAGGGAAGTATTTATATACAGCTGCAGTGGCAAACCGAGCTCACCATGCTTCCACAAACACCGGATCTACTGAAGAGTAAATGACAAACTGAGCATTTATTTATTCATTTGTCTACTGAACATTTTCTTGAACACGAACAAAGGGAGCCCTGTTACTTATGCAATAATTGTGGCCAAAATAAAAATTGAGCTTTCAAATTATAATCAGAATTTTGAGAACATAAGCATCTAGTATTATAGATTATAGCTATATAGATTATAAAGCATTATAGATACTATAAGCATATAGTATTAAAGATATATAGCTCCCTAAAGCTCAAAGACCTTTCCCATGCAGCTGAAGGTAATACTACTACATGAATGAATGAATTTTCTATTTTATATCACTTTATACTCCTATGATTTGTCCCCAAGAGGTTCATATGCTGGAAGCTTGGTTTCTCAATGTGTCACACTGAAAGGTGGTCAGACCATCAGGTGCCAATTAGTGGAATTACCTGAGGATTAATGCTGGTCTCACACACGAGTTAGAGCTCACATTAGTAAGTGAACTCTTACAAGAGTAGAGGTTGTAAAAGAGTGAGCATGGTCCCTTCTTGCTTTCTCTTGTCATGTGATCTCTCTCACACACTTGTGTGACAAGATGCAATTTGCTCTGTTATGACACAGCTAGAAGGCACTCGCCAAAGACCAATAAATGAGCTGGCTTCCAACAGTGGTGACCCACACCTTTAATCCCTGCACCCGGGAGCAGAGGCAGGCAGATCTCTGTGGGTTTAAGGCCAGCCTGAGCTACACAGAAAGTTCCAGGACAGCCTGGGCTACACAGAGAATCTACTCAGTCTCCAAAACTAAGAACTTTTCACTCTAAAAATGCTCAGTTTTGTTTTAAGTAAAACACAAAATGGACTAGGCATGTCAGTACTCAGAAGATGCATGTCCTTTAGTGAAGTACTAAATTCCAGATGACCATAATGATGAGAAAAACTGCATCTAAGTAAAAGACAAAAATCTTACTATGTAGCCCAAGCTGATCAGGAAAGCCTTGAACTCAACTTCTGCCTGCTTCAGCCTCTGAAGAGCTCAGATTACAGGCAAAACAAAAAGACAAAAAAAAAAAAGTTATTAATGGGGGATTTCACTTCTGTATTTCAAAATGTATATGTGTGTATATATATATATACACACACATATATTTACCAATTATATATAAAAGCTATTTGGTGTGTGTGTATATAAATACATTTAAGAAATTGTAACTTGAATTGGGCAGTGATGTCACACACCTTTAATCCCAGCTCTTGGGAGGCATAGGCAAGCGAATCTCAGTTGAAAAGCTCGGGCAGAAAAGTTGAAAGTGAGTTGGAGTTAGCTTGGTCTATGTGACAAGTTCCAGGACAGCAAGGACTACACAGAGAATCTCTGTCTCAAAACACCAATCAACCAACAACAACAAAAAACTTTCTTCAAATATATTCATATTACACTAATTGGCTACCAATTACAATCATTGTTATACTAACCATCTAATGAAAATCTACACCAAAGCCAAATCTCAACAACAAACTTATAACTTTGTAAGTAAAAGGAAACAAAAGTAGAATATATAAGAAATATGTGATGCAATTTTCTTGACTAACAAATTGTGGGTGTTGACTCCCCAGTTACTTGTTGTAGATGGAGCGGCAGGCTGCATCCCACTGCCCGACTGGCTTACACCCAGGCTGGAGGGCTGCTTGTTGTCACAGCCACCCAGCTAGCTTATGCTTGAAATAATCACACAGAGATCGTATTGATTAAATTATTGCCTGGCCCATTAGCTCTAGACTATTATTGGCTAACTCTCACATCTTGATTAACCCATTTCTATTAATCTATGTGTTACCTTGAGGTCGTGGCTTACTGGCATGAGTTTAACCAATGTCTGTCTTGGGCAGGAGAAGCATGGCGTCTGTCTGACTCTGCTCCTCTTCCTCCCGGAATTCTGTTCTGTCTTCCCTGCCTACCTGAGGGCTGCCCTATCAAAGGGCCAAGGCAGTACCTTTATTCAACCAATGAAAGCAACACATAGAAGAACCTCCTATACCAGTTACTTAGAAAATTAACCACAGCCGGGCGGTGGTGGCGCACGCCTTCAATCCCAGCATTTAGGAGGCAGAGGCAGGCGGATCTCTGTGAGTTCGAGACCACCCTAGTCTACAAGAGCTAGTTCCAGGACAGGCTCCAAAACCACAGAGAAACCCTGTCTGGAAAAACAAAAAACAAAAAAAAAAAGAATAAAAAGAAAATTAACCACATATCCAACCATCTGTCTAGCCACCCAGCGAATGCCTCAGCCTGTTATGAAGACTAGTCTCACATCACAGAAAGCTGTCTCATTAGGGAGTAGGGACAGAGATTCAAATGCTAAATCTCAAGTCAAGCAAGGGCCTAGTGCCCACAGAGGTCTGTTGCTTTGAGAGTGCCTTGGAAGAGAATGTGTAAATCCACTATATAGTTCAGTAAGAAGAACCTACACCTAAGCTAAGTGTTCTAACACTAAGTTCCACTCAGAGTTCAATTCTTGACAATACTCTGGGTAATATTCAGCACTAAATAAACTCTCAACTAGTTCTATTACTATGGATAATTCCCAGGTAGTAGAAGCAATAACTGACAGGGACAAGAATGGGATTAGGGATTCAAAGGGCTTATGAAATATGTTCCATCTAATCTGTTAAGTATGCACTATCCAGGAACACTTGAATCACAGCTTCCAAAAAGGACATACCAGAAGCATTAACGTAAGAGTCACTTGTCATAGAGCTGAGCTAGCCACAAAAAGGAGAGAGCTCAGCAAGGGAGAAGATGAGGATGGAGAAACAGATCTGTTAGAACACAGTCCAGGAATTGAGTTGCATGAGAATTCTGAGTGCTTCTGAGAACACTCCCAGAAAACAAGACAAGTCTTGTGACCTCAGTTTCTTCAAAACATAGAACTGTTCTAGGAATGTATTTTCATGCTCTTCCAAGGTTTAGCATATAGGAGTGAGTTTACCTTAGTTTACCTCATTATTGCTCACTATTGCTAATCAATTAAATGTTTAAATTTTTCTTTACATGCCTCTATGGAAAAATATGTTTTTGCCATGTGCAGCTTTTCCTTGTGATTGTATATAGCTTAAACTCATGAGAACTTTACTCTGTGACCTTTCCTAACACTCAGAGTATAAATCATCTGAGGTTCTGAATAAAGCTGACTATTGCATGAGATTTTTGTCTGCCTCATTTATTGGCTCAATTCTCTCAGGCCCCACCACCTCTAGAGCAGTGACATGGTTCTAGTGGTAAACTCTAACATCCCACATCAGGTAAAGGTAGAAGAAACACTAAGGAGTCTAACAAAAGTTATGACAGAGTCCAGAGTGAAGAGTGAGATAAGAGAAACCACAGCACACTCAATGAGACGTTCCCTGAGCCCAGACTGAGCCAGCCCTGCCTGGAGTGCACAAGTCAGTGAAGTCTAGGCCCTGAGCCAAGCACCATCAACACAGTGTGAGAAAACAGGCAAAACAAACTTATATGAAGAGATCAATGTTTCAAATAATCATCAACAGGTACTTCAGGCAAAGTTGAGAGAATCTTGGTGCAAGTATGTCCTGCAATGCAGTCAATGCAGCAGGACCTAAAGGAGACTTACAACAGCAAAACAAAAACAATAAATTAAAAGACCTGGGTGAAAACAAGGAAAGTTTAGTGACGAAACTCCAGTGACAAGAAAGCCCCAATTACTGAGAAAAAGTTAGACTTCTGTTAGAATTACAGGTGAGCCTGGAG